CCGTCGCCCGTCGTGGCCTGCGCGCGGCCCGTACACCCGGCGCGCGGCCCGTACGGGCTGCGCCAGGCCCGCGCGCGGCCCGTACGGGCTGCGCCAGGCACGCGCGCGGCCCGTACGGGCTGCGCCAGGCCCGCGCGCGGCTCGGACCGCCTGCGCGCGGTTCGGGAGGCGGTGCCAGGCCCGTGGGCGGCCCGTTCTTCGCTTCCCCTGTCCTCCCCGCTGTCCCCCGTGCTTCTGAAGGCGCCCCACCCCTCCTTCTGCCCGTTCTCCTGGATTAGGGTTTGGGGTTGGGGGGTATGGGGGTGCAGCTTCTGTGTGCCGTTCCCTGCTCCTCCTCCTCCTCCGTCTCCCTGTGCTGCAGCTGCCGCTGAGGGGGGTGGACCTGTTGGAGCCGTTGGAGTGGTACTAAGGGGGGGTGAAGGGGGAGTGGAGCTAGCGGTGTAGCAGCGGGTGTGTGTCGAGGGGTGTGGGACTGTTGGGGGAGGTTGAGGGGAGGTTGCCGTCGTGTCGTACGCAGCGCCTGTACTCCGGGGCACTCACTCCCGGTAGCTCAGAGAGCCGGTTGCGCCGTCGCCTGTGGGTCCGTTGCTCCTGCTGCTCGTCTTAGCCGCGGAGCCTGTTACTCCTGTACTCCGGGGCACTCACTCCCGGTAGCCACTGTGTCGCACCAGAGCCGTCTGTTGCCCGTGTGCCTGCAGCTTCAGTCGTCGCCTCCCATCTACTCTCCTCTCGCCAGCCCTCCTCCTCCTCACTTGCCCGTTGTGACTACCACTAGCTTTGCCCATAATTGTGAACTTTAAACTATTGCTTCTTAAACTTGTGCTCAGAATGTGTGGTGACATTGTGATCCACCCTGAGCTTGTACTGCTTTGCTAGCTCTGATACCATGTTGAGATAAGCGGTAGTCTTAGGAGCCATAGCTAGGAGAGTCCTAGCTAGGCAAGAGAGTTTAGGCGAAAGAGAGGGGTTGCACTAGCAAGAATGGGGATACAAATAGCAAACCCTAGAAGAGTTGTACTCGCTACAGAGCACCCCACTATAGGCTAGAGCATGATATTCTGACATTTATGGGTGCACGAACCCACAATACATGTATGACAATTCCCAGTTTCCCCGAGTCGTGCTTCAGAATATTTGACTGGGCTGGGCAGGGCCGACCATGTCGACATGATCCAACCGAGGCTGCTTGGATCCAAACACGCCGTAAGCACATGATTACGCTTTCTAAACTAGAGACTCTGTGAAACATGAATCCATAAACCCCCTAAAAATAGTGGAGGAAACAATATCCATGAGGGCTATAAATATCAGGAAATATTGAGGGTGTGGGCCCTATCGAGTCTGATCGCGACTGATCTGATCGGGTCTGATCGGATCGGGTTGCTTGTGATCGAAGTGCCCGAGCCGCCCGATCAGAGATGCATTTCGAGGAAGAGTTTCAGCGCCTTCTCGGCAAGCGCTGTACATTTACCTGGCATTTTCGACCCCTATCTAGCGAGATTGGCGACCAAATTTCACATGGCGCAAAAAACCATTTTCCTGTAATTGCAACATTGTAACTACTCGCAAGCATCGCTGTGGGCCCCGATCACATGCAATCAGTTGATTGCCTGTGATCAAGGAAAATCGACTATGATCGGGGTGTAAATCGGGTCTGATCGAGTTGGGGCGATCAGTTGATCGCGATCAGCTGATTGCCCCTGATTGCCTGAATTTGGCTTCCAGGCTTCCAGGAAATTATTGATCGCGGCTGATCGAGGCGATCAAACCCGATTGGGCCCATGCCCTGATAATCCTACCCTTTTGAGGTGGTTGGTGTGTGTTAGGGCGTGTCCAGAGCGTACGTTTTGGGAAACTTAGAGCCCTCACACGTCTCTCAGATCAGAAAAACTCATTGTACCTAGAAACGAACCCAGGGCGAGCTTAGTCCAAAATGCTTGTGCCTTCCAGTGCGCGGACACAACCCCCGCCACGTAATTTTCTACAGTGTTCCAAATGTGTGGAAACCAAGGTAATTAGCCCCCTCGTCAATCCTCGCGTGGGAATCATTGCGCAAACGAAAATTTCTCGTTTGAGCGAATATTAATGTAGTACGCAGGACACAATGCTGTACCCTTTTTCGCGCGCATGCTGTTTCAGGTGACGTGAGTCAGACGACTCGTCGTACGTGCAGGGGACGTGCCGTCTCATGAACGAAAGCTGATCCTGTCCAGCCTTTCTGTAAAATGCAGTGTTACAACCCTGAAAGTGGTAACTGATAGGGTTTATGAACTGTAAATGTACGCGCTGGACACCCCCTTTTTCGGGGCAGAATCTACCTACCCAGCCCTTGGGTAACCCCAAGTTCAGAACCGCGACCGGCCTGCACCATTTTATTAGTTTGTTAAATCAAAAATAAGTGCATCCCACCATTTAAAACCTCTTGGTGCTTCTGGGGCCCAATGTTTAGACATTCCTGCCCTTGAATTTTCGCTGGCGGATGAGCTGTCAAATGGCCACGTCGTTACTTCGGCATGTGGTTCGGTAGGACAGAACAAAATTGTGAAACTATTTGAACTTCGAGCGTGTTCAAAGAATTGGACGACTGAATGAATCGAACGGCTGTCTATCGAGAGTGCCAACTGTCAGTCGTCGACTTATCATGAATCGAACGGCTTATTTCCCAAAGCGCTTGAATGTTACATTTCTGTGTCGATGCTCTATTTTGTTGATTGTTGAACTATTAAGGATGAACGCGGCCTATCTGATCGCCAACTGCTGGTTGGAACCAATGAGTGTGAGGGTACTGTAGCGGTGTGGCAACACCCCGCCCACTCTGGTTGTGTACTGACAGAACAAGACAGCCATTGCGAGCACGAGAAGCTTGCAGCAAAAGAAACACTTCCAACATGATTTGCTACGATTGGCTTGTTTTGGCGACCCAGTAAGAAGCCTGCGGCGCAGCGCGACATCGCCGCTGGGCACACAAATCTTCAAGTGTCGGGATCTCTTCATTAGAAAGTTTTCCTGCATTGAAATGTTCACATGGCTTCAAAATTCGCTCGTACACCTCTGATTATTCACCTTTACAGTATTCTGAAAGTACACGTACGATATTTGACGGGAAACATTGACCCGACAGATTTACAGTACTAGAAAGAGCCAGGCCTACACACGATCAGTCAATCCCGCAGCGCACTTCGCTCCGTATGGCTGAAGGGCTCGCCCACCGAACCACCAACTCTAATCCTGGGTGCGCATATGCCACAGCTTTTCCCAGACAGGATTCCGCCAGCCGCTACGCCTGCGCGCGAGTGAACCCCAGCCGCACGCTTGAGCTGTGCTGGACGGCCAGTTCTGCTGGTCTTGATTTCCGACCGAACACTTTTCCGTTCCGCTAGGAGGGAGATGAGGAGCGGCGGCGAAGCGATGCTGGAAGTGAACGCGGAGAGGAAGGCGGCAGTGCGCAATAGAACAGGCACTCACTTGACTGTCATTTCAACATTGAACCAGGCCTCTCGATGTGTTTTTGGGCACCCTTCCAGAAACAATTCGTGGCCGACCTTCACCCTGCCACTGCAGTGTGCCAAGTGCGGCATACTCAGGAAATGGCAGGGTGTTTTGTATTTTCTTGTCGGAACTGGCAGGGTAGAAATCTCGCTAACACTGCTGAGCTCTGTAGACCCGCATTGAGCAGGACTTCGTCAAATTACAGCCTGTTCCGTCACTGAGCGAGCTTAGCGTGTTAAAGGGACTTAACTAAGTTTCCAGCTTGTCCCAGCGACCAAGACAAAATTCCAGTGTGTTTCTGTGACTTCGCCGAATTTTGGCAAGCATAAGTGATTTAGCCGAATTTCCAGTATGTTTCAGACTTCGCTGAATGTCCAGTGTGCTCCAGTCACTTGGGCGAATTCTCTGAGTGCTTCAGTGACTTAGGCAATTTCCAGTGTTTCAGTGACTTCGCTGAATGTCGAGTGTGTTCTAGTGACTTGGGCGGATTTCCAGAGTGCTTCTGTGACTTAGCCAGATTCACTGACTTAGCTGAAATTGGAGAGCACGAGAGATCGACTCTCAAGGAGTCCTTAGCAGGGTTAAAATGACTTAGACTCGGAAACGGCCGGGCTGACAGGATGCTCTCACCTGGAATTGAAGGGTACGGTTTTACTCATGTCAAGGGGCGTCAGGGCGGTACAAGCGTCGAAGTCAATTTCAGCAGGGTGACCTGAAAAACTCACTCTGAAAAACAGGCTAATCAGGGTAAAACACCCTGACTTCCTGGGGCCTGGTTGAAACCCTTGGTGTTGACGCGGAAAATGTGTCCCTTTTCCATTCAGGGGCGCTGTTTTCTGAGGCCTGGCGACATCTGGGCGTGAACCTCACAGGTTGCATGGCAACGCTTCTCTAATTTCTTTTGTATAACACCAGCCAGTTACCCGCGTCTCTATCTTCTGCAGCATTCAGCGCTTCTCAGGGTCGTCAATTGAAGTGGTATCGTTTTGACACCCGCAATTTGCTTTAACGGGATTTGTCCCGCGCAAGTAATCACTTTGCCGAAAAAGGCGGGAGCCGAAATGGCGAAATCTGTTTGGAAGCGAGCGGGGGGGCAACGCATCGGGTCTGCTGAGGCTCCTCGCAACGCGGACTACCCAGCAGCGAACTCTGCGGCTGAGGCTCGTCGCGGCGCCGCCGGAAGCGCGCCTGCGGCGGCAAATGTGGCTTCTACTCTCACCCCTGGCGCGCAAATGACAACCTCAACGGACTCGCAATGTCATCCACTTTCACTCGCGCCATCGTTTTCGGCGGCGCCGCTGCACGCGACGACAGCAGCAGAGGCGGCGGCGGCGTGGAATGCGGCGTCGGTGGAGGCGATGGCGGCGGCGACGTGGGATGGCGGCAGCGGGGCGTCGCATTCTGGTTCGCACGACGACGCCGCCGGCAACAGCAGCTACTACTACGACCACGATGATGATGGCGGCGGGAGCTCGATCACGGACGGCGACACGGACTCGCCGCATGAATCCATGGTGTCGAATGGCTCCATGCACGACGACGACGACGATGACGACTTGCTACTGTCGGATGACGCGGAGGATAGTAGCGAGTCTGGTAAGGGCTGCTTTAAGTCCCATTGCATGCCGGCGACTCGTCGAACGACGTCTGCGACGATCAGATTGCATGAAAGAGTGCGCCGTACTGCCAGCGCGGCGACCACCGCCAGAAAGCCAATCGCCGAAGGTGGTCGTCACGGCGCCGCCGCAAAGTCGGGCGGAGACGGCGCTGCGGCGCCGACGTCGGATCGCGAGCCGCTGGTGGCCTTGGGGAAGCGGCGGAAGAGCGGTCGGTCGGCGACGTTAATGCGGCGGATTATCCGCAGCGTACGCAAAAGCGAGTACACCGTTGACTTGGAGGAAGACAATGATGGCGACGCGGCAGAACTGCGGGGCTGCGGCGGCGCGGCGCGCGGAGGGAAACAGCGCCGTTTTCACTTGAGCCCCTCGTGGAGGCCGCTGTTCGTCGTCGTGTGGGCAGTTGTGACTCTAGCGGTGGCGACTGGCGTGTTCGTGGCTACGTATAACACGTTTGAGCACGAGCGGCAGGTGAGGGCGAGCGTGCGCGTGCGCAGTTGCTTCCGCGCGTACGCTCGAATTATCGACAGTCCATGGCACCATGTTGGCCTCGCAATGCAATGTGTGCGTTCCACCTAGCAAGATGACTTAACTCCCTCTTTTTCCTTGCAATGACGCTGCATGACATGGCATGACGTGGCATGGCATTTCCAATGGCATGGGATGGCGCGGCAGGAGGAGGTGGAGATGGAGTGCGAGGCGTGGCGCGTGCTACTGGAAGAGCATTTCACGGACACCACGAATCAGATCCGTCTGCTCGCCAATCTCGTCTCCACCTTCCACTTCCGCAAGCCCAAAGGCACGCTCGACCGGGTGAGCCCAATCGCACGCGCGCATGATGCTCCACTCGCGGAGCCTGTAACCATTTCCGTGCCTTCCGCCGCCTTCTCCTCCCCGCCTCCCCCTCCCGCCCCCTCCTGCCCCCTCCCGTTCGTCCCCCTCTCTTCCCCTTCGCGCTCCCTCACCCCCACCCGTTTCTCCTCCCGTCGCTCCCCGGTTTTTCCGTTGCCCTCTCTCTCCGTCTCCCTGCAGCGCACCTTTCTGTCGTTTTTGAACGAAACTACGTACGCGTGGCCGCACATTCACCACATCTCCTTCGCCATCCGCGTGCCGCACGACGCGCGCGCCCGCTTCGAGCGCAGCCGCGGCCCGGGCTTCTGCATCAGGTAACGCGCAGCCTGGCGGGTGACGGAAAGGGGATGCGACGCGGTGATTCGGTTGCGTTGAGATGATTTGCGTTGGGTTTGGTTGCGCTGGAAAAGGCTCCAGATCTGTGGGGATGGATCGTGCGACGGGCTGCATTCTCTCTTTCTCTTTCGACCTTCTCATTTCACCTTCTCAATCGACCTGCCCTTTCAATCTCCCTCGCCCCGCTCCTCCCCGCGGCTTGCACGGTACGCGCCACGGGACACGCGGTGGGGAGCAGAGACGGCGCGGGGTGCGCGCCGCAGAGCACCGAGTACGCACCCATCATCTACACCACGTCCGCGCAACTCCCCGCCGGTCAAGACCTCATGTGGTGTACGTCACTTGCTCTCCCGCTCTCCCGCTCCCCCGCTCCCCCGCTCCCCGCTTCTTCACCCCCGTGCGTCCGCCCGACGCGCGCGTGCAGTTGTTTCACCCGGCGCTCTTGCTTCGTTTGAGTCGACTGATAATCACCTCGCTCTTGTTTCATAGTGACTTTTGAGTCGACATGCTAGCGTCACCGCGCACCTGCCTCGTCTAGCCTTCTCCGCTCTTGTTCCGCCTCTCCTCTCTTGATCCGCCTGCGCTTTCGTTCCGCCCACTCTTTCGTTCCGCCTCTCTTATTCCTTTCTCTGACATCTCTTCGCCGCCGCCTTCTCTCGCCCCTCGCGGACCCCACCCGCAGCTGCCGACGCGACGGGTTTGAGCGCGGTGGAGCACGCGAGGGACAACGGCACCATGGGCGCGCTCACGGCGCCGCTGCGCAACGCCAACCCCGACGCGACCGCGGACGAAGTGGCTGCGGCGGCGGCGGCGGAGGAGGCGGTGGAGCGCGAGAATCACTGGGTGGAAGCGTGGGGGGCCGCGGCGGACGGCACGGCGCTGCTGCGCGTGTACCCCGTGTACAAGGAGGGGCGCGCGCCGCCGGGGGAGGAGCGGGCGAACGTGACGGCCATGAGGAACGCGTGCCGCGGATACATGTCCGCGCTTGTGGACTTCACTTCGCTTGTATCGGTGCGGATCTTAGCGCGGAGAGAAGGGAGGAGGGAGGGAGAGTGTATGCTTTGGAAAGCCCAAAATGAAGGGTGGGGTTGGGAAGCAAGAAGTGGGATGACCAGGGTGTTGCTGTGCTGTTTGTTAGTCTGCGATTTGGCCTTGCGAGTGACTCTCATTAAATAAATAAATGCGCATCTTTAAAAGTCACATTTCCCTCCCTCTTCCCCCGGTTCCCCTCCCTCGTCCCTCCCCCTCCCCTCTCTCCGCTCCCCCCACGGCAGTCCATGCACAACGGCCACTCGCGCATGTTCGTGCGCATCTACGACGTCACGCGCACACGCGGCGCCCCGGGCAGCGCCGACGCGCGCCGCTACCAGCGCACCGCCAACACCAGCAGCGGCCGCCTTGCAACCGTCGACACCACCAGTCCCAGCAGCAGCAGCAGCGGCCCTTTCAGCCCGAGTAGTCCGGGCAGTGGGCACATGGAGGATCTGGAAGAGCTCATGTATGAGCCTGTGGATCACCGCCTGGCGCCCGGTGAAACGGACAACTATAACGTTGTTGCTGCGCTTGATCTGGGGGATCCGACCCGCCAGCACGAGATGCGATGCAGGTGCGGTGTGGTGCGGTGCGGTGCGGTGCGGTGTGGTGTGGCGTGCTGCCCCGTTGCTGTGGCTTCCCTTGCAGTGTATCGCCTTTGCTGGAAGATCTCTTGACCGTGTTGACCATCTTGACCGTGTTGACCATCTTGACCGTGTTGACCATCTTGACCGTGTTGACCATCTTGACCGTGTTGACCATCTTGACCTCCCACTCAAAAGTCATGCCTCCCACCCACCCCACCCCCGTCCCACCAGGTACATAGACTTCTACGTCTTCCCCTTCGCGAGCCTGGGGTGGGCGCTGGTGATCGTAACAGTGATGTCCCTCGTAGGGTACATGTGGTGGGCGGCGGGCGGGCACATGCAGCGCCTGGAGCGCGACTTCCTGCGCATGCAGCTGCTCAAGAACAAGATGAAGGCCGCACGCAACGTCGCCGAGCGCGCCAGCGTCGCCAAGGGCACCTTCCTCGCGACCATGTCGCACGAGCTGCGCACGCCCATGAACGGGGTGATCGGCATGCTGAATCTGCTGCTGGAGACGCCGCTCAGTATCACCCAGTTGGACTATGTGGAGACGGCGCATACCAGTGGGCGCGCGCTGCTGGAGCTTATTAATGATATCCTCGACCTGTCCAAGATTGAGGTGCGCTGCTGCAGCGAGCATGGATCCATGTGGACAGGGCTTCTGCTGCTCTCGCTGCTGATGCTTCTGCCCCTCGCTGTGCTGCTGGGATCCACTTTCGCTCAGGCCCTTCCGCCGACATCCCCCCTCTTTCTATTTCTTCGTTTCCCCAACTCGCCTTTGCCTCCCCAACCAACCCCCACCTTCCCCCCTCCGCCACCCTCCGCCTTCTTCCACGCCTCACCTCCCGTCTCTTCTGCTCTCCCCCGTCCTCTGTTCTCCCCCTCCACAGGCGAACAAGATGCCATTGGAGTCGGTCCCCATGGACGTGCGCGCGCAGGTGGGCACGGTGCTCACCATGTTCGTCGAGCGCTTCCCCATCTCACCATCCCTTCCCTCCTCCCCCACCCCACCCTCCCCCACTCTCTCCCTCCTCCCCCACCTCCCGTCCCCCTCTGCCCCCGCTTCGCCCCCCCCTCTCCCCGCAGGCGAACAAGATGCCGCTGGAGAGCGTCCCCATGGACGTGCGAGCACAGGTGGACACGGTGCTGACCATGTTCGTGGAGCGCTTCCGCGCCAAGCCGCTGCTCGAGGTGGCCGCGTACATCGACCCCTGGGTGCCGCCCGCTGTGCTCGGCGACTCCCTGCGCTTCCGCCAGGTGCGCTGCTGGGATGGGTAGGGTGGGGTGGGGTGGGGTGGGTGTGGGTGGGTGTGCGTGGGTGTGTGCGGGTTTGCTGTGCACTATGTGTTGCCATGTGCCGCTCACTCCTTCGCCAACATGCATTCCATGTGCTGTGGGAGACTCTCACCATTCGGCCCATCCTTCTTTTCTCCACGTGCGCTCCCTAGCCATCCTCACCACATCACCGTGTGCCTCATCACCCACATCTCATCTCATTCCCACCTGTCTCCCCTCCACCCTGATCCCTCCCTCCTCCCCTCCCCTCCCTCCCCCTCCCTCTTCCCCACCACCTCGTGCTATCACAAGTGCTGGTGAATCTACCATCCAACGCGTTCAAGTTCACGGAGCAATGACTTTTGCAGCGCCTCAAAAGCCCTCCCTATTCCCCCCCTCCCTACCTCGTGCTACCATCCAACGCGTGTACCACAGGTGGTGGTGAATCTACTATCGAACGCGTTCAAGTTCACGGAGCGGGGCCACATCTTCATAGCCGTGCGCACCGCCCTGCCCTCCGAGGACCTGCGGCGCACCTTGTGCACTCGCCACCACCCACACTCGCACCCGCACCCCCACTTCCACGCGCACTCGCACGGGCACAAGCCGGGCCAGGGGAATGACGGAGAAGAGGGCGCGAGGGGCAGCAGCGTGAGCATCGGCGAGCGGGCGGGCGTGACGGGGCGCAGCAGCTGGACCAGCCAGGGCAGCCACGGTGGGTGCAGCAACAGAGGCGGTGGGCACCGGGAGAGCGAGTGGGCGACACTGAGTGGGCTGGAGGCTGTGCGCAGCTGCAACAGCTGGGACGTGCTTGCAGCCCGGCGCCAGCGGTGGCGCGAGGGAGGGGCGGAGGGGGAGTGCGGGGCGAGTGAGGAGGGCACGGGAGAGGGGCGGCAGGGGGGGAAGGGAAAGGAGGAGTGTGCGGTGAAGGAGTGCGTGATTGATGTGGGTGGTGATGGCACTGCTGCTGCTGCTGCTGGTGCTGGGAGTGGCGATGGCGAGTCTGCGTTGAGAGGGCCGACCGTGCGACTCGTAATCAGCGTCGAGGTCAGTGCTGGGGACCGGTGCTGGGGGTGGGGCCGGTGGGGTGGGGAGAGGGGGGGTGGGGAGAGGGGGGGTAGTGTCTGTCCTGATGTTGTTGCACTTGATGCGCAGTTGTGACTTACAGATGCCTCCATGCGCCCTTGCATTCCATACCCGTGCACTGGCGTTCCCTTGGCCGCCCAGAAGGATATCCTCAGGCCCTGCACTCAGCTAAACTCCCCTCTCCCCCCAATCCCCCCCTCTTCCTGCTCCTCCTTCCCCTCCCCACACAGGACACGGGCGAGGGCATTCCCAAGGCAGCACAGAAGACCATTCTGAAGCCGTTCACGCAGGCGGACGCGAGCAAACTCCTCTTTCATCTCGCCCCTCCCTCTTTCCCCGTCTCTCCACAGGACACGGGCGAGGGTATTCCCAAGGCGGCGCAGAAGACCATTCTGAAGCCGTTCACACAGGCGGACGCGAGCACGACGCGCACGCACGGCGGCACGGGCATCGGCCTCTCCATCTCGCGGCACCTTGTGGCGCTCATGGGCGGCAAGCTCGCCTTCTCCTCGCGCCCGGGCGTCGGCACCACCTTCTACTTTGATATTCTCGTGCCACTCGTGGTAGACCACACTCAGCAGCAGCAGCCGCTGCAACTGGAACTGCACGGTGCACAGCCCATGGGTGTTGTGGGCCCCATGGGTGCGCACGGTGCGCGGCCTGTCTCTGCTGGTGCACTCCATGGGGCGCCAGGAATGGCATCAGCATCAGCATCGGCAGCATCACCAGCAGCAGCGGGTGCAGTGGAGGCAGTGTCGTCACTCGCAGCGCAGCCGCGCCGCCTGCCACAGCGCCACACCTCCTCCCCAACGCACTACCTCTCGCTCCTCCCTGTCGGAGACGCTTCAACATCCCCCCGCCTCTCATCCCCTTTCCCCGCACGCGTCTCAACCTCTCTCAACACCTCTCCACGCCTGCTGCCACCCTCCTCCACCTCACCCGTCACCCCGTCCAGTGCGCGCCACTATCGCAACCCCTCTCTGCAGCTGCTGCAGGTGCCACGTAAGGAGCTGCAAGGCATGCAGGCAGCACAGCTGCGTTTGCTACAGTCCACCCCCGTGCACAGACTCACCGCGTCGCCCATTCACTTGGTGCCCATGTCCCCGCTGCCTCTCCTGCAGCGTGCCGAGGCTAGCTTGACCCACTTTGACGCTCTTCTGCTTGACGACAAGCCCGTGAGGTTTGGCGTCACGGAGAGCCTGCTCGCTAGGCTCGGTATTCCGGTTCGGAACGTGCCGTTGCCTCGGGACCTCCAGTCTCTCTTCTCAAGTGCAAGCAGCACCCACGCACCTGTATCACAGCTGCAGGGTTTGCGGCCGGTGATAGTGGTGGTGGAAGGGGAGTGGCTGGAGCGACTGATGCAGGCACGGCAAGCGCGTGAGGAGGGTGGAAGGAGCGCAGATGAAGATTCAGGAGGGAGAGATTCGCCTTGCACGCCCCGTATGGGGGTGCCTCTGCAACAGCAGCAGCAGCGTGAGAGGAGAGAGGGCGAGGGCGGCAGCAGCAGAGGAGTGCTGTCATGGCAGCAGGTGGCGGCGAGACTGTTTCAAGACTCCGCTCTCTCCCCTGCTGCTTCCCACTGCACCTACATGCACCTCCAGCAGCAGCAGCGACAGCAGCCGCAGCAGCAGCAGTCACCGTGGTTCGCATCAGTGCTTCTGGAGTGTGGGGCGATGGGGGAGAGCAGCAACGGGGCAGACGGGGGCAGGGCGGGGAGCAGAGCAGCGGCGGAGGAAGGAGGGGCGCCATTCCACGGGAAGGTGTGCAAGCCGGTCCGCTTCTCTGCGCTCTCCGCTTGCCTCTCCCAACTGCTGCTGGGTGCTGCGGCCAACCAGGACAGTGGCAACGGGGAGGAGGAGGGGGAAGAGGGGGACGAGGGCGAAGACGAGGAGGGTACGGGGTTTGCGGTGACCCGGCAAGGGGTTAAAGGTGGGAGTTGTAGCAGTGCTGGTGATGATGGTGATGGTGATAGTGCTGGAAGAAGCACGGAGCAGCAGAGGTCTAAGAGTAGCCCGCACGGGGAGCAGGGCAGGAAGGCGGAAGCAGGGAGTGAAGGAGGTGCGATTGGGTTGAGTGGCAAGCAGGCAGCGGGAGGCAGTGCGGTGGGCAGGGGCAGTGTGGCGGTGAAGAAGGGGAAGCAAAGCAAGACGGCGCAGCTGCTGTGTGAGAAGCTGGGCGGACGACGCATCCTGGTGGTGAGCTGCACTGCACACTGCACATGCACCCCCACCCACCACTCTTCCACATTCGACTCGTCCTTTGTTGACATAGGAAGCTGGTTTTTGAGAATTCTCAAAAGCCAGCTCTTCCACATTCGACTCGTCCTTTGTTGACATAGGAAGCCCAGGTAACCGTCTCTGCTTGCCCTCTTGTCCTTCTCCCTCCCCCTCGCCTCCTTCCCCCCTGTGCCCCGCCCTCTCCCCTTCCTCTTGACTCGCCAGGTGGACGACAACATGGTGAATCACAAGGTGATGTCCAAGATGAAACACACCATGTGATCCTTGGAAGCACACATGAAACTCTCTGCTCGCCCTTCCCTCCCCACCTTTCTCTCCTCCCCCATCCCTCCCCACTCCTCTCCCCCACCCATTGCACCACCTCGCCCTCTCCCCAGGTGGACGACAACATGGTGAACCGCAAGGTGATGTCCAAGATGCTAGAGCGCTACGATGTGCATGTGGAGGCTGTGGATGGCGGCGCCAAGGCCATCGCTGCCGTCGCTCGCACCGATGCCGCCGCGACTCCGTACGACTGTGTCTTTATGGACTTGCAGGTGAGGCCTCTTTCTGTATGCTGCTCATGCATGCATATGCTGTACACGCATGGTCATGCTGCTCATGCATGATCATGGACTGAGCCATGTATGCTCATGCTGTACACGCCCATGGTGCTCACGCCTTAGGACAGGAACGCGTCTGCAGCTGCTGCGCCTTGCGATAGCTCCATGGCTTGTCATTCGGCTTGTTCTGTATCTTCTGTTCCTTCGATAACTGATTGTGGTCTCCTTCCTTCGTCTTGTTCTCTCCCCGTCCATGAACCTCGATCCATGCATTTGTTCATACCTGTGTTCCCCCCGTCTCTCTCTGGTCTGGTGTGCATCGCTGCTGGTTCTACCTAACGTTCAGATGCCGGGAATGGACGGGCTTGAGGCCACAGGGCTCATTCGCAAGTACGAAGTAGAGCAGCAAGCCAAGGCAGCTGCTTCACAGGAGGATGCAGCAGCCGCAGGTGCAAAGCGGCGGCTGCTGGTGATCGCACTGACTGCAGATGTGGGTGCAGGGACCAAGGAGAAGTGTGTTGGTGCAGGAATGGATGGGTACATGACAAAGCCAATTGAGGAAGACCAGCTGTCGCGTACGCTATTGCCATTCTTTGATGCTTTGCAATAATTTATCGTGTGATTTGATTTGTTGTGTACTTAGATTTGTAGTGTTGCTTGCTAGAAAGGCATAGTGCCAGCATAGCGGAAACGCTTTTGTAGAGATGATAATGATTAAAGCCCGGGGTCAGCATGGTAAAAGTTATGTGAGGCTTGCATATGAAATGGATCTGATTGTTAGTAAATGTTGATGGACTACCTAACACACCAGGGATTTATATGCTTCCGATGGATATGCAACAGTCAGTAAAATATATTTTTTCTCCAGAGTTTCACCAAACCATGCACCGCTGGCCCGGCCGAGTCAGCCTACGCTTCGGGACTAGTCGGAACCTCGATGTCAGCCTAATACTAGCTAGTTTGCACGTGTCGCTTTACCGTTTGCATGTTCGCACATGGTACGTTAAGTGTTCGCTCATTGCCTTCACCCTTACTTAGCAGGCCCCACGATATTGTTGGGCTGAGAAAAGCCCTTAGGATCTTTCCAGGGGTAAACTCTAGGTAAGAACCTTGTAATAGCGGAAGCGTTTAATGAAGAGTTTGTGAACCACCTTGCGCTAGTATGTGAGGGCAAAGTAGATTTATTATAGCAAAGAGATACAAGAGTATTTATAATAGTTCAAGGAATGCGAAGTGATACGGTTGTAACTAATTTACTGTTGCTGTTGCGGTTCGATACAGTACGACTCGGGCAACTGCTCTGTAACGAGTCAGTTGTGTGTCCTTAACTGTCGCGCTGTACTTGTCAGGTCAAAGGTCGCTTGACCTTTGACTTTCGCGTAACCTCCAGCAACCTCTCAACCTCCGAGGGTTGACTCGCGCTTGCTTCGGTATTGTTTTCTTCACTTCTGGTGCGATGTTTCGACACTACTGAAGCGCTTAAGTTTCACTGTTTCCAACACTCCCCTTCGCTTCTGGAGTGTCGCTGCTGATGACGTGGCTTTGTCCAGTCAGCAGTATGTAGTACTCGAATTTCTGCTTTCCGAGCTTCTTGGTCAAATAGTCGGCTGCCATCTCGGATGTGGGGCAGTATGACAGCTGAAGTCTCCCCTTCTCGATCTCGTCCTTCACGAAGAAGTAGCGTAGGGCGATGTGTTTCGTCCTGTTCGCGAAGCCGTTCTTGTTGGCGATGCGAATTGCTGACTGGTTGTCGCAGAACAGGGTGAAGTTGGGTAACTCGGCTAACTTTGCTTCTTCCAGCAGCTCGCGAAGATAAAGTCCCTCCTTGGTGGCTGAGCAGAGTGCGATGTATTCTGCTTCAGCTGATGATAGCGCGATTAACTCCTGTTTGCTCGACTGCCAGGAGATAGGACCGATGGGTTCGAGGCGGTAGATGTAGCCGGTGCGCGAGCGCCTGTTATCGGAGTCGCCGGCGTGATCGGCGTCAACATAGCCGATTAATTTAGTCGGTGTAGCTGCGTTCTTGTGATAAGTTAGGCCGATCGTTGAGGTGCTGACGAAGTAGTGAAGAGCGCGGTCGAGCTCCGCCAGGTGTTCTGCTTCGGGCTTCTTGAGGTAGGTGGCGAGTTGGCTTGCGGAGTATGAGAGGTCAGAACGACAGGTGACGGCTGCGAAGAGGAGGCATCCTAGCTTCCTCTGAGAGTCGCGTATGCCGCCGGTCTTGAGTAGAGCGGATCCTTCCTTGTTACTTCCTGTCGTGTAGCAGTACGATGTGGTGATGGTGGTCGGTGTGAGATTGAAGCGCTTGGCGATGGTGTCGGCATACTTCGCGGCGCCGAGATAGATCGCGTCGTTATCTTCTCGAATGTTAAGTCCGAGGTACTGTGTGACGGTAGATGAGACAGTGAGGGTGAGATCCTTCTGCAGCTCCCCTTCGAACCAGGTGGTGATGCCGTCGGTAGAGCCGATGTAGAGGAGATCGTCCACGTAGACGATTAGTAGGATGTAGTCAGTGTTCTTCGTGAGTCGGTACATGCCCTGATCGTGCGGTTTGAAGCCGATGCGGATGAGGCGAGCGTGCAGGTACTGCTGCCACAGTCGCGGGGCCTGCTTGATGCCGTAGAGTGACTTGAGCAGTTGGCAGACGTGTGTGGAGTCTGTGTTGGAGCCGTGTGGTAGCTCCACAAAAATCTCTGCGTCGACAGGTGCGTAGAGGAATGCATTTGCGACGTCGATTTGCCGCAGCTTCTTCTTCTTCATGGCGGCGATTGCGAGTAGAATTCGGAGCGAAGTGTGTCGGCTCACAGGTGCGAAGGTTTCGGTGAAGTTACGTCCGTGTTCCTGGTCGAAACCGCGCACGACCCATCGTGCCTTGAACTTTTCGATGGTGCCGTCGGCTTTCGTCTTCACTCGGAAGACCCATTTTCCGGTGAGTATGGTCTTGTTTCGTGCTACGCCGATAGGGACGACCTTCCAGGTATTGCGCTCTTCTAAGGCCTTCAGCTCCCTGTCCATGGCTTCGCGCCATTTTTCCCTGTGCTCCCCCCCCCAGAGCCTGCTGAACCGTCGCAGGCTCCTTAGGAATGTCGGCTGTCAGAATGTTGTATTTGTCTAGCCTGCTGTGGGGTACTCTATAGCGAGTACAGCCCAATCTAGGGTTTGCTATTTGTATCTCAACTGCTGCTAGTGCAAACCCTCCTTTGCTCGTTTCTCTCTTGCCTAGCTAGGACTCTCCTAGCTATGGCTCCTAAGACTACCGCTTATCTTGACATGCTATCAGAGCAGGTCGACCCCCTTGGGTCGATCCTGTGGGTGGGCCCACCACCTAATGCTTCCGCTGCTGTTCTACTTGTCGCGCGCCTCGGTCGCGCGACGCCTCCTTCCTGCCGTACGCTCGGGGCGTGCGGCGGTTTTCTGCCTGCCGTGCGCCCCGAGGCGCGCGGCGGTTTCCCACCGTCGAAGTGCCCCCCGTCGCCCGTCGAAGCGCCCCCGTCGCCCGTCGGAGCGCCCCCCGTCGCCCGTCGAAACGTCCCCGTCGCCCGTCGAAGCGCCCCTGGGACCCGCGCGCGGCCCGTACGGGCTGCGCCAGGCCCGCGCGCGGCCCGTACGGGCTGCGCCAGGCCCGCGCGCGGTCCGTACGGGCTGTGCCAGGCCCGCGCGCGGCCCGTGCAGCCCGCGCGCGCCTCGTCCCGCCTGCGGCAGACCCGTGCGCGCGCCTCGTCCGTCCCCCAAGCTTCTGTCGGCGCCCCACCCCCGCTACTGCCCGCGTTCCTGTGTTAGGGTTTGGGGGTGGCGGGTGTGGGGGTGCCGGTTGTGTGCCCCGTCCCCTCCTTCTCCTCCTCCTCCGTCTCCCGCTGCTGCAGCTGCCGCTCAGGGGGGTGGGTGTGTGGGGAGCCGACGGAGTGGTACTAGGGGGGTGAAAGGGGAGTGGAGCTAGGGGCGAAGCAGGGGGTGTGTGTCGAGGGGTGTGGGACTGTTGGGGGAGGTTGAGCGGAGGCCGCCGTCGTGTCGTCTGCAGCGCCTGTATTCCGGGGTTCTGATAGCCACCGGTAGCTCAGAGAGCCGGTTGCACCTGTCGCCCGTGGGTCCGTTGCTCCTGTCGCTGCTGATCAGACGCAGAGCCTGTTACTCCTGTATTCCGGGGCCCTTGCTCCCGGTAGCCACTAGAGCTGCACCAGAGCCGTCTGTTGCCCGTGTGTCTGCAGCTTCAGTCGTCGCCTCCACTCTTCTCTCCTCTCGCCAGCCCTCCTCCTCCTCACTTGCCCTCTATGACTGCCTCTAGCTTTGCTCATAAAATGTGAACTACTATTATGACTGCTTGTTGTGCTGATTACACCCCACTTTGGCTATGGGGGTGTGTCAGAATGTTGTATTTGTCTAGCCTGCAGTGGGGTACTCTATAGCGAGTACAGCCCAATCTAGGGTTTGCTATTTGTATCTCAACTGCTGCTAGTGCAAACCCTCCTTTGCTCGTTTCTCTCTTGCCTAGCTAGGACTCTCCTAGCTATGGCTCCTAAGACTACCGCTTATCTTGACATCGGCGCCGTGGACTGCGGTGACGAGTCCAAGGATTTGGAGTCCACTCTGTGTGTAGCGGGGAAGTGTGGTGTCCTCGGGATAGACTGCTTCGTCTCCAGCTTCTGGGTCAGGTGCGAAATTGGGCCCTACACGTTCTGCTTCGTTGGTGTTGACTTGTTCGGGTGTAACGTAACCGTCGTCGGCGAACTTGTAGAAGACTTCGGCGTTGATGCTTTCGCGAGGGTTGTCGTCGTCCATTGGTACGTCTACCCAGCAGTACGGGAGAGGTCCGGCTTCTTCCGAGGCTCCGTCCACGTTTTGCTCGTCCCAGTCAGCTTCGTCTTCCACTGAGGCGAAGGCTCGGGTTCCAGTGAATCCGCCCGAGGGATCAGGTCTGTTTGCTCTTACGTAGGCGAGGTGAACGTCGAGGGTGAGGTTCTCGTAGAAGAGGACGTCACGTGCTGCGACTGTTTCTTTACTGTTGATGTCGAAGATTTTCCACGCGTTGTAGTGTTTTTCGATGCCCAGGTGTACTCCCCACTGTGCTCGCTGGGAGAATCGACCGGCGCGTGCAGATGGGGGTCGGTACTGTACCATGCAACCGAACTCGCAACATTTTTGTGCTGCCCAGTTTTCCTGTCCACAGCAGGTGCGGTGATGCGTTGTTCGGGAGCGATGATGACGAGAGCAAGTTGTGCAGCATGACGGCGTGGTCCATTGCTTCGGGCCACTGGTGGTTGGGCAGATGCATGCCACGTAACAGCTTGCGCATGGTGGCTTGGAGTGTCCTGTTCATCCTCTCTGCTACACCTTGCTGTTGATGGGCGTAAGGAAGGGAGATGAGCCGCTTGATTCCCCTCTCTGCCAAGTAGTCCTTGAACCTCTGTGAGGTGTATTCTCCTCCCCCGTCTGACTGGAAGCTTTTCAGTTTTACGCCCGATTCTCTCTCTGCTGCAGGAAGCCACGCGACGAACGCTTTGTCAGAATGAACGGACAGGAATGATTGAACTAACAGGGAAATCAGTACAAATAGCAAACCCTAGAATTGTGTACCCCATATAGGCTAACCCACTGTAGCCTAACAAGCACAAC